AACGCAGTTCCACAGGGTTCCTGTTTTTAAAAAGGCGAATTCAGGCTCTGTATCTGGATTTTCATGCTACGTTGACCCCGGGAGGGCAGGTGAAGTTTGGGCGCCTGCTTTTTTTACTATGCTGTGTAGGCATTGCACAGGCAGGAGCATGCATTTCTGCAGGCCAGGCGGCCACTGCGTGCAGTTTACGTGTATGCGAAGAAGTAAAAGAATAGAGTGTGTAAACGAGAAATGAAAATTGAAAAGAAAAAAAAAATGCTTTAAAAAAAAAATCTATTTTCGTTGGCACTTTATATCTATTTACGACCCCCATCCCATTTTCCACGAGTCCTGATAGTTTCAAAGATTGTAAATCATGGATTACATAATGGGACATTAAAACATGCACAAATTAGCGCATTATCATAAAATATTGAGTTTTTATCAGGATCTAATTTTTCTTTTACCAACTCTGGCACAGAAATTATAGTTAAAAATTGTTTGATGCTCTATTCCCAATACAATCCCCATATAAATTACAAGAGTTTCAACTCCTTTCTTTCACCTCCTTGCATAAACGCACCATAAGAGAGTTCAAGACGGAACAAAAAAAAAAAAAAAAAAAAATTGATTTTCAGATTATCATTAATTGTACATCTACCTTAGCAGTATATTTCTCTCATCTGATTAATCTTATAGAGTCTTTTAAGCAAGATGGGGGAACAAATATTTCTCAAATTAAAAATTTATATGCAAGAAAAATGTGTCTCCCACAAATTACCAAAAATAGCCCCGAAAAAGGCCAAAAAGGCGATTATGTAGCCGACTTCAAAAAGGAAATGGTCCAAAATTGCCCCCGTAACAATTGCAGACCTGCCAACCAGTACGATTAAGTCGTATTTAGTACAACTTTTAGAAACAAATTTTTCATTAAAATACAACTTTAGGGATTAAAGAATACAGTTTTGTTAACTCTAGAGGTTGGCAGGTCTGCAATTGCCGCACGACTACGAGTGGCTGCTCTCTCCTAGCTTCGTATTCATTGTGTGCATTTCTAGGTTGCCGCGCACGCTCGCTGAATCTCCATGTAAAATTGTATATACAAATTCGGTCGTAAATAAATCAATCCATATCTTTCCATGTTCCACGTGATTAAAAACATGTAAATTGGAGTGTAGGGACCACATTTTTGGCAGTCAAATTTGTTTTGATCGGTATCATTAGCTGAAACTAGACGATTCGCTAAACCATAGCGAAATATCAAAAAAACTTTGAAAATGCGATCAATTTCCAGTATGATTGCTACAATTTAAAATAATTTTTTATGAATAAATGTGTGAAATAAAAGCTTACTTTGTGATTATTCTGGCCATGTTTACTAAATATTTATAATCATTTTTCACATGAAAATCAGAGAAATCATTGTGACAGTTCAGTTGCACAGTGCCTTGAGACCACACATAGCGCTAACAGGGCAGTGCCACTGCTGTCAGAACAGAGAGAGTCAAATAGACTTGTCTTTGCGTGGAATCGTCTCCAGCATAGCTAGCATAGCTTGCAATCCTATTCAAAATTTGCGTCTAGCCGCCTCACAAAAATTTACTCAGGTAAAAGATTTTTTTTAAGTTACACTATTTGAAGTTAACCTACGTTCCTAATTTGAAGGGAAGATATATATTTTTTTTTTCAGTCTTGATAAATTTTCCCCTTCACATAGCACCTCACACGCCCGTGTCATGCATTTCACCCACACAGGGGATATCAACTCACCACTCAAAAACTATAGCCTGTCCAAATTTTTGTTTGGACTCGGAGGAAAATTTGTCTGTCTTCTTTATAACCCTAAAAAGGCCGGGCTATTTGAGGTCTGAAAATGGCCGGGCGGGGGGGGGGGGGGGGGGGGGGGCATTATGGCATTATGGCCCCCCTTAGATTGCCGCGATTGGCACGAAAATTTGCATGCATGTCAAGTGAAGTGTATAGAATACTATGGTAAATTTAATTTTTTTTTAAATTTACTCATTTTTATATCTATGGTAATTTATGTAAAGAAGATCATAAAATTCACCTTTTTACCCATAAATCATATATTCTTTATATTTAAGCATTCTTTTTCACTACGCGTATTCGTTAGACCATTTAAAACAATAATACGACAATTTTTTTTAAAAGAATAAGGTTATTCCTTATGTTATCTCTTGTTTGATAATTTCTGATGTATTCCCTTGTTTTTGTTGTTTATTTCATTTCTAACTTCAATACAACGATTTTGACTCCTAAAACAAACACCTAAACTTTAAACAAGACCCAATAACCAATGTTTTATCTCTTTTTAGGAAACAATGACATTTCCGTATGTTTTGTACCAGATCACGAAAATGAGTGATTTTCGGGCTGACATGCAAAGACAAAAGGTCACGTGACTTTGTAACTGTAGGTCAGATTAAAAAAAAAAAATTGTTTTAAAAGATGCGCAAGACTCGAAAGAAAAAAGTCGGCGAGCCACGGGGCGCCATCCGTATGCGTACCCGAACAATCAGAAAAATCATGGAGGGGGGGCCATAATGGCCTCCCCCCCCCCGGCCTTATTAGGGTTAAGTTTTAAAAACAACATTGTTACTACCATAAATCTCTGTGTATAAGACGCACCTGTATTTTTTGTTTTGCTGACTCCGTAGGCAGCAAGCCAGGTCTGTGGAGAACGACCTTTGCTGAGGGCGCTGATTTGTGCTTGGAAACTTGTCACAAATAATAGTAACAATTTCGTATTGAAAACTAAACCCCAAAAGTCCAAACAGAATCCAGCCATACAGGCAGTGTTGTTCTAGTTTCTGAGTGGTGAGTCAACACACCTTGTATGGCAGAGCTGGGATACATTGCCAGTAACAGTTCAGGTGGAGGGGCATTTTTTTTGTACCTGTGTATAAGACGCACCCCGTCTTTCAATTTTTTTTTTCGGCGCCTCTTATACACAGAGATTTACATATCTGTGACAAGTTCACAAGCACTTTAACTGCGCCTTGTAATAAATAAAAGTCCTTCCCTGCATGGCCTAGGTTTTCAAATGGTATACCTTTCTGAACGCTGAAATAAGCCAGGATCTGATCTGGCTAGCTGACTACGGTGTCAGCAAAAAAGCAAAAGCCAAAAAAAAAAACAAAAAAATTGTTTTTTTGTTTGTCTTTGTCCTAAAAATAGGGATGCATCTTATACACAGAGATTTACAGTATACATTGTATTTACAATCAGCCAGATAATGAACTTGACAAGTCTCGCTCATTATCAGATTGTGTCGTGATTTAACCAGCATGCAGTGCTTATTACTCATGCACTTGCAAGCATGAAGTATTTGAATACTATTTCATTCTTATTTGCGTTTATTTTGTGTGGATTTTTCCAAGACATGATTATCAGCAAAACGGGGTATATTATTGGTACTGTAAATCTCTGTGTATAAAACGCACCTGTGTATTTAAGACGCACCCTTGTTTTTTGGACCAAGACCCCCAAAATAAATTTGTATTAGCTCTTTTGTAAAGATTTACTGCGTATTTCCAGTTACACTGCCGCTACATACATGGCCATGGACAATTATTATCTGAAATTTTTAACAATTGATGCATAATGGATTTTTAGATCTTTGCTGTGACTTGTTATATTTATATGTTAAATGACATTGATTGTTGTCATGTACATTTTCTGCTTTTTATTTAAGTTAATATTGTCTGTTGGGAGCCAGGGGAGTACAAATAATCAAATAATTCCTCTGGCTCTCAACAGAGAGGTTAAATTATATTACATTGTTATGTTATTTATGTTATTTGTAGTTACTGTCTATGATATGTTAATGTATTGTTATATTTATACAAATGTGAGCTGTAAAACGATTTTTATGCCTTCATTTTATTTTGTGCATGGCAATAAAGAAATTCAATTCAAATTCAATTCAATTAAATGGCCATGGTACGGCCATGCGATCGCCTGTTCAATACACATGTACATTTATGCCTGTAACCCCTTGACCCCACTGGGGTCTGCACCCCCAAACCCCTGCTAATGGTACAGATTTCTTATTTTCAAATGATGGCAGGTACATGCATGAGTGATATTTATCATTTGGTTCGCATTTTGGTATGCATTATAGATGATTATCATTAGAAATACAGGGTGCATGTAAATGTGGGCAATAGCGTACATGTAGATAAGCTCTGCAGTAAACTTGGGCTTATAATACCAGCATGTGCATGTACCGGGTATATTTTTTTTTCTTCTCCATTCTTTCTTTCTTTTTTATTGCACTTGTCTCATAAACCTATAATTGATGCACAATGATGACTTTGACATGTATTTATTTTTCAATATGAAGTAGTTTTTGCACATATATGCAGTTATCAATGAATATTATTTGAATGATTGTTAAATTGTCACAGACAAATTATCAAAATTCTCATAAATCTAATATAGTTTATCATTCTCTGCATGATTAACATGTATTCTTCAAATGGAATCAAAAGCCTGTTCAGACTAAATAAATTTATATGAAACTCTTTAAAAGAAACATCATATTAAGAACCATTGTATGACAAACGGAGCATGCAGACTAGGAAACAGCATTGTATAAAGAAACTAATATTGACAAGGTTAGTTGGCAGAACAGCTGTCCACTCTTTGGTGCCTGCTTACGATAAGCTCGGCAAGTTATACAATTATTTTACGATAGAACGTTCAGACTGTAGTGGGAACCTGATTCTCTATCAAGTTTTCTTCAGAAAAGTTGCTTGAACAGTACTTTTTTTTTTTATTTCAAAAATGTAATTATTTATCATATAGTTACATGAGACTTTGTATAGCAATACAATGACTGCTAGTAGTCTTAAAGCTGGATGAGTTGATGTTTACGTTTGAAAAACAAAATAGATAGGAAGTGTACAGATGGAAACGATGTTGAATACATGTTTTGTAAATGCATTTGTATTTAAGTATAATTACACAATTTTTGTTTTCTTCTTTTTTTATCTTGCAGAAAAAAGCTCAGGAGGTCAGATTAATAGACCACGAAACAGTAACGGTATTTCATGAGCCATACATAGGTTATGTAGATTGTATATGGAATGATTCAGGAATTCAAGAATGTTATGACAGAAGGAGAGAATACCAGCTCACAGATTCAGCAAAATAGTAAGTATCATCTTGTTTTAAAGTTGATTTAGTAATCTTGATGTAATTTGATATATGATGCCATATTTTGTCTGTTTGGAGCCAGAAAGACATTAAATCAAAATGTACTTTAACATAGAGCTAATGCCCCTCTGGCTCTGAAAAGATACAAGAGGATATTAAAGAAGTAACTTCAATGAAAGTTTAGCCAGCATAATGATACCTCAGTCACACCTAGATTGACGCCAGACACAAGTCAATAGACCTTCCAATACGCAGGCTCAAACTGTACTTGGGCTTGGGCTTGTTTTATTTTTGGTGTATCTCATTGATTTTGTAAACGTGGTGGGTCTGAATAAAGATGGAATCTATGCTAAATGCACGTTAGGCCTGTCTTCATCAGAACGAAGTTGCAAAATAACCTGCTAATTTCAGACTTGAAATTGCGTCCTCACCAGACCGATACCCTCATCACAAACTAGCTTGGCAGACGCATATTAGCCCGCTATTTTGGAACAATTTTTTTTGGACCAAATAGCCCGCTAATTGCAACTGCAGTCTGATGAAGACGCAAATCAGCTGGCTAATTTGAGATCGGGCTAGTTAAAAATAGCGGATTATTTTGCATCTTCGGTCTGATGAGGGCAGGCCTGTTGTAAGATTTTGATTTTACTGGCATATCACATATGCTATTTGAATTGGTGCATTGGTTGCCTCAAATGTATATTAACCCATAGCAGTTCAGAGATTTCTTATTTTCTAGATTTATCCATTTTCCCTCCTCAGATTGGTAATAATAAAACTTATTTTCGATTCCTTTTCCACTCCTTTTTAGTTTGAAGGAAAACAAATTATTTAATGAACTGGTGTAAAAGAAAATTCAAAAATTTGACCGAAAAATTGCCAATGTGTACACTAAAATAGCGATTTATTTTGCACAGCATTGCCAATTTAGAGACTTTAATGATTAGTTACGAGCAATTAGCTCTTATTCAAGAACTGCACAACACACTGCATTGGAAATATAGTTTTCTGCGATTTTTGTTCATTCTGCTCATGTACAACTTGTTATTCAGGCCATTCAGGATCAAAAGATAAAAATAAAACGTCACTAATAGGCGATTCTAACACTATGAACATGACTGACAATGAGAGCGGACAAAATATACAGTTCCTCAGGTAGACAAAGGAACATCCCTTCACAGCTATTATGTAAAAAGGTGAATATGCATGTGACACCTGTTCTACACATTTTTACATAATAGCAGTAAGGGATGTTCCTTTGTCTACCTGAGGAACTGTATATTTTGTCCGCTCTCATTGTCAGTCATGTTCATAGTGTAAACTGCTATGGTTAAAATCACTATGAACATGACTGACAATGAGAGCGGACAAAATATACAGTTCCTCAGGTCGACAAAGGAACATCCCTTCACAGCTATTATGTAAAAAGGTGAATATGCATGTGACACCTGTTCTACACATTTTTACATAATAGCAGTGAAGGGATGTTCCTTTGTCTACCTGAGGAACTGTATATTTTGTCCGCTCTCATTGTCAGTCATGTTCATAGTGAATACAAATGTTGTGGTGCATTGTTTACAAAGAATTCTTGTGATTTAAGAGTCACATGGGCTGAGGTTTTAATTCTACCAAGAATTATTGATAATTTTGATAGTCATGTGGTCAGAAAGTAGTCATATTTATGATTTATCTATTTATTCATTGGGTAATTTTTTTCAAAGTTACATCTGTGTAACCAACAAGGATGATGTTGTGTTTAAAAGCAATTTCTCTCAAACAAACAGAAATGCTATAGTTCAAATAAGAGATAGAAATGAAAAGTTCAAAGCAAGATGATTACTGAACTGGAACTTGAATTAGACCAAGTATCGGAGAAGATGATATTTCTGAGTTGTGATAAGGGTAAATCCTGCTACAGTGTTGATTTCAGTAAAAGAAACGGGTCTGAAAGTTTGAGGAAAATTTATTGTACAATAAAGAAAGTTGCTTTAGTTTTCAAACTTTAGAAGATATCTACTAATCTACTTCAATTAACAACCCTATGATTTCCTCTACAAGTTACTCTTTATTAAAAAAATTGTTATAATTTCCTCCCCCCCCCCCTCCTCAAAACCTGTGCCTAAATGAAATATAAAATACCTGTGCCTAAGTTTGAAACATATTCTTATGGATCATTCATTTCGATACAAACAAGTAAACCGATGGTCACGAAGGAAATCAATGATTCCTTGTGGAATCTTCAAAACTCGAAGACTATTTTCCATAAGATTTTTGTCAAACTCTCTTTATCTGAATTTTCTGCATCAATTTGAATTAACTGAATGTCAACAGGGAGCTCCATCATGTCAGGGTGGACTTCCCTTTATGTAAATTTGGTGGACTAGAAATGAAGAAATTTCTGTTAATTTCTTTTGCTGTGGCATTTTTATGACATGTAGTACCGCATCATGTGGAGTTGATGATGAATATTCTTTTGTTGGGAGTTATGAAGCAAATTTTTTTCATTTACCGTATTTGCCGGCGATAAGGCCGCAGCGCCGCATAGGCCGCACCCCCATCTTTGATTTTGACATTTCGTAGAGGAAAAAAAAAACAGGCCAAACAAAATAATCATAATTTTCTTGTAGAACACTATTTTTCCTACAAACTGATACCAAAATCATCAATATTCTTATAAATTTACAGGAAATTTACCTAATTTTTTTTCTTGTATTTTAGCAAATCTATATCAATTTTTAAGCTAGTACTGTATCGCAGTCAGATTTGGTATCCTACATATACCCCTACCATTCTGCAGTGTAATACGAAATTGCGACTTCGGCTAGATGCACAGTTGTGTTGCGCGGCAGTTAGCTCCGTAACAGTGTCTTCTTTTATTTTTATGCGATGCAATGCCACGAACTTAGATCTAGATCTAGATCTACCGGTAGATTTTGTTAGAAAAATATTTTTATTTTCGTCTTCATGTCAACAATGCAACATAAAATTGTCAGTAAGATGTGTGAAGTTATTCTAGAAATGTCCTGTACCATTGTATAGTTATTGTAGTCCCATATGTACAAATGGACGCGCTGTTTTGACTGCTGAATTTTTAGTTGTTGCGGATTGGCCACACCCAGACTTTTTGATATTTTCTCTTTTGAAAATACTGCGGCCTTTACGCGGGCAAATACGGTAACTTGTTTTGAGAAGACAATATATGTGACTGATGACAAAAGGAAAGGGTTACCGTAAATCTCTGTGTATAAGGCGCACTTTTTTGCCGCCAAAAAAAATTGAAAGTCGGGGGTGCGTCTTATACACAGGTACAGAAAAACAAAAATAAAAAATTCTAGTTTCAATTTATGGCGCTATGCCTGGCAGTGTCTCTCAGCTCAGTATTCAGTGTGTTGACTCGCCACTCTGAAACTACAACAACACTCAAATTTGTCTGTCGTCTTGGTTTTAAAGTAATCTTTCTAATTCCTCAAATTGTTTTTCTATAACAAATGGTGTACCACAAGGTTCTATCCTAGGTACTCTATTGTTTTTAATGCTAATGATCTTACACATTCTTCTAAAAACGACATCGTTACTATTATTTGTGACAAGTTCACAAGCACAAATCAGCGCCTACTGCACCTCGATGTAAAATGAAGGTCCTTCCCCGCGTGGGTTTTCGGCAACAAAACAAAAAAAAAAAAAATGGGGGTGCGCCTTATACACAGAGATTTACGGTATGCACCAAAAAAAACCTTAATTTTAGAAATGTCCTGTGAAAAAATACCCGCTTGTTGGATGAATTTGCTCTAAAGGCTATAGTAATAGTGAAGTCTATAGTAATAGTGAAATGAGAAAGATATGTGATACCACCATGCAAATACATCATTGGTGTACATACAACTGTATGTATGTAGTTTTCAGCAAGTTTTCTTAAATCTTTGTTTCCAGCAACTCCAAAAGATATCAAGATTTTATGTTCGGAGGGTGATGATATACTTGCAGAAAGGATGTTTTAACAATACAATGTGGTTCCTAGTATAATAATAATTAATACAATTTGTGAAGACATTTTGTGTCAAAATACTAATGGATTACTAGTTTTGGATAAAGTAATGGAAAAATTAAGACTCATATGAGACATCTCTGTGCCCTTTGTGGCATGGGTTTATTTTCCACTTGCTATGTTTCATGATACAGTAATAGGAGGTCACTTAACAGGGCTTGAAATTAGCGGTTGCCTGGGTGCCATTGACAAACTAAGGGCGCGTTCATGCTTGATTTTGAAGGCAGAATGAGCGATTTGTAACGCTCATCGTAAACGCTCATCGTAATCGCAGTTCCACGGTGCACTGTTCATGCTCACTTCTCCAGGCAATTCTCCTTGGGTGGCCTTCAGCTGGATTCGCAAACCTGTGTGCGCATGCTACGTAGACCCATTAGAGGTCAGTGCGTTGACCCCATTTAAACGCGTTTACAAATTGTAAACGCATCTTTTTGTGAGTTTACGATCGGCGATCGTGATCGCCGTTTTTCGGTGATTCTACAAAAGTGAGCATGAACGCAATCGTGTTTTAAACTAAAGGCGTAACAGATGCCTGATTCTGGCCGTCAAAATCAAGCATGAACGCACCCTTAAACGCCAACAGGCAAACTACGGGCAACCTACGGGCAACCAGGAAAAAAAGTTAAAGGCATTGTTTAACAATGTTTCTAGTTTTACAAATCTGAGATGCATGGTCTTACATGTTATCAGTGTCTGTGATATGGTGTAAATTGAAGCCCTAAAAAAATAGCGCTTCAAAATGATCATGAAGTGCCTCTAAAAAGTAAAAATATTTGAGTGACCAGATTCACCATACTCATATTTCTCAATAGACTAGTGTTATAAAAACCGTTAGGAAAACAAATTCTGAAATTTCTAATTCCAATCATAGATATCCTGATAATCAGCCAGGCGATTGGCTTGTGAAAGTCATGGGATTCATGTATGACCTAAAGGTTAATAATTATGATTG